AAGTAAAATATATACTGTCCAGCGCAAATAAAGAGAAAAATGGATTAACAAAATTGCGAGAGGGATTCTTTGGGTCACTTGGATTGCGAGCTTTGTATATAGTATTGATTATTCAAAGTTAAAAACATCACGGCCAGATACATCATTTCTTTATCATATCATGAAGTCATTTTATAAGTTAAAGGTCGAGTACATGGATGATCGTCCGGGTGAACGAAGTCCTAAATAGGACTGTTGTTGTTAACAGTGACAGAGGTTCCGACAACCTGTGCGGTAGTCATCCTCAGAGTCAAAGTGAGTTGTATCACGTCAGTTGTAGGTATTAAACTCGGGATATTGACCTGATTGGTCAATTAAGTCTTGATCTTATTGGTCGTATGTCAGTTAAGCCGTGATGTTATTGGCTATGAAGACTCGTAATGTCATCGGTGCATTTCGATCCATCTATTGTCACAGTTAAACAGTCGTTTAACTGCTCAGTCTTTCGAAAGATTTAGGAGGACGAAGTGTCGTAGTGAAAAACAAATGAAAGCGATGGCTGTATTTGATTAGAGTAGGAACCTTAACACCTGCCTTAATTTTGTTAGTGAAAAAGGGACTTTGCAGTGTGTGTTTTTGAAGATAACTGCCGACATCGTCCTCGCCGCGTTTTAAAGCAGGTATCATTATATTTTTAAATTTTTGTAGACTTTGCAATGATTTTCCTGAGACGAATAGGCCCTTTTTAGAACTGTTGCTTGTTATCACTTAGCAACGGCTCGCGAGATGGCAAGCCATCCAAGCGTTCATCCACATCACAAAGCTTAGAGTGCGATCGCGGAAAGGCTTCCTGGGGAATTGAAAGGTAAAGCTGTGTTAAATAGGCGTTTCCGCCTTTTTTTTTTAACAACGTTTCCTTTTTGTTTAATATTTTTATTCCGTATATTTTCCTATTTTGAGTTTGGTATTTATGAATTTTCGACCATTTGCCGGGACGCACGTACGTATTACCGAACAGGAAGCTATACCCCCAAACCATATAAGCCTAAAACCGTGCCTTTCCTGAGACCCTAACATCTACGTTCTTTGTAGTCAAGGTAGGAACGCAGAATGACGGATCAAGGTGTAAGACGACTTGTTCCCCTCCTTTTTTTTTGCTGGAGTTGCGTGGTTGGCTTAGGAAAACTGCTAACAAAAACGATAACCCCATTTTTACATATAATTATATATAAATATTCAACTGATAACTTTATTTTATTCTACTCGAGATAAAATTCCATAGCAATGTCACCGTCTTTTGTTGGGGAACATCGACGTACCTTTAAAGAAATGACCATGCTGCAACTTTGAACTGTAATTCCTATATCTTTCAGTTCGTCTTACAGACCCTGTGCATAATACAGTGGAACCTCAATTTAACGAACCACCACAAAAGGAATCCTCGAGATAACAAACGGTTATCTATACCCCAATAATAGTAGAATACCAATGAAAAATAACAAAACCTCGTTATAAATTTATGTTTTGGGTGAATGAATGCGTTATAACGAACAAATTTTGTCAGTCCCTTCGGCCTTGGCCCTTCGTTAAATCGAGGTTCCACTTTAACCCATTCGCTCCTGGAGATTTTGCCGAAAAACGCGTTTTGAAGCTAGTCGAGTGGTTTTCTGGTCACTTTCGTGCTATAAAGAGCTAAAACTTACCACAAACCGGTTAACAGGTCGTATTCTTGGCGGCCTTCTGATCCAGATGCAAAATATCAGCTTGCGAAGTTCGGGCATGCGCAGAAAGCAAAATTTCGAGATTTCTCTCCTCCCTTCTTTTTTCGCTTTTCTTGCCTCAATTTTTTTTTCTCTTGCTGGGCATTTAGTAGGCTTCATTTTGGTGGGAAGAGTTTTTAGAATCTTAGGATTAGGTGAAAGGAAAGGTAGGTGGGCAATGGAACAAGATTTTCATGAAGATTTTCAGGTCAATGTCACGTGGTTTTTTGCTTCTTTCTCCGGTGTCCTAGACTGAATTGTGCTCATTCTGGTATGGTTTGAAAGATCTCTTCACTCTACACAAGATAGCGAAGAAAGTTGTCCTTGACCGTTAAAACTGATGACGTCACAAAGGGCAGAAAGGACCTGGATCCGCACGGGCGGTTACAGGCGGTTCAGGGGCGAATGGGTTAATGCATTTTCGTTTGACAAGATACATATTTTTACGCGTTTTGGCCTTGCGTTCACACTGCAGCGATCAAACGAAGGTTTAAGAGAACGCTATCGGAAGGGGAAGATCTGATTGGTCCGTTTTTGACATCTCAACACCAGAGGAGCCATAGGGGGTTCTTGGGGCGGAATTCCAATTTATGAGACGTCAGTGCAAGCTCTCTCCCCCCCTCCCCACCTTTTTCTCTCCCCCACCCCCCGCATCCCCGGGAGGGCTTGCTCGCAAACGAAATGCAGGTCCAAGAATACCCTAAAAGGCAATTATAGACACAGAACTCCTGATGGGTTTTTGCCAGCGAAAGTTAAGGAAAGCTAGGGTTTTATCATTATAGCGAATTGGTGTGGAAGAGTCCTTAGTTTGCTATATTACTATAAAACTTCTAACACATATATAGATCTTCTGTTTTGCAAAAGCGCGTGCCCGCATGTTCACCACGGCATGCAGGCGTTACAGGTGAAGAACTAGAAATACGTGTTTGGCGGAACCTCGCGCAGTTCGTTGGGGGATGGGAGAGCGGCACAGAACTGGAGTAGCGTCGGCTTGGTCATTTTATTTTAACAATTGTTCCTCGAGCCCGAATGGGCTATTGACTCAGAGGCCATGAGGGCGAGAGGAATAATTGTTTTGGTAAAATCCAACTAGTTGATAAAAAATATCGAGAATAAAAAATTTTAGCTAGTTAAAGCTAGACTTAAATCCTTTTTTGCCGCCAAAAAGCGCGCGCTTTTCGCTACTAGTGGGCTATGACATATAGCCTAGTAGTAGCTCAACCAATCAGAACGCAGCATTGATAATAGACCACTAGCTGGATCTTACTAATCTCTAATATAAATGTATCACGCTGTGCTACGTCTGTTGCTGAAGAAACGCCACACGTTTGAAATTCTTTCAATATAAACACAGGAAACCCAGTTCCACCTTCAAAAATATTGATGAGAGTGTAATTGGGTAAGAGACGCGCCAAGCAGCAGAATATATCAGTCATTGGTCTATTCAAGTTAGCTGGACGGCATGAGAAAATGGATGACATTTTCGTATACCACGAATGTCAGAGCACACGCTGGAGTCACTCTGTAAAAACAAAAACAAACAAACGTAATCACAAACAACGTGTCTCGTGCCTTTTAATATGTTTGTTTGTTTTTTCATGTGCCTTTCCTATACGTTCTGTCTAGCTGTTCGTTTAACTGTATTAGCAAGCTGTTTCCAAAGCTCCGAACTTCCCTGCATACAGTACAAACATTGTAATAGTCATCTTTAACAAGTGGCCACCTTTATTAAGCGACCTCAGCCACCCCTTTTGTTTTGCCTTTCTTGTTATTTTTGCCTGTGTTAACTAGCCGCAACCCGTAAATGAAGAAAATAATGAAGGAATGAGACATTTCGGTGTGAGCGTCAGGGCACGCAAACACTGTCTGGTTGGCCGGCAGGATAACGGATAGTGCTTTATCATAACGGTGAGTTTATTTCCCCGTTACGGCTACAAGTTAGCAACTTTGTTGAAAGAATAGAAAGTGTAAGATCAATACAGATCAGGGTCGCCCTGGTATAGTTCGCCTGAAAGGACGTTGATTGCTTTATAGTTTGATAGAATGAAGAATTGAATGAAGTGTTCTTCTATGAAGACTATCAGTTAGTTGCGTTTCGACGGCCACATAGTGGGTAATTTTTGTGATATTTTATTGAGCGACCACCTTCATTAGGCGGCAAGTCTCTTAAATACCGGTCGAGGGTGACCATTATAACCAGGTCAAACTACAGTTATCATTTTCTATTATCATTTCAACTTTCCATGCCTATTTTTGTGTGTTGTTTGGTTTGTCTGTTTCTCGTATGAGCCTTATTTCAGCCAAATAAAGCAGTTGGTATGCAGCATGTGGGAGGCCCGGGTTTAAATCCCGGCCGGTCACAGAACAGAGTTCATTATCAAAAGAAAATGCCACTCTACTGTCTGTTTAAGACCTTGCCCCAGACCAGATGATCGGGAAGTGGCGCTGATCGGAAAAGGCAATCATAATATCGCGGATTTGATTATAGTCACATAGATATCTGTGCGCTATACATTCTTAAATTATTATCATTATTTCTAAGCCTTTGGCCTTACTTCCTTCATCCTTCCTCTCATTAATAGTTCATCAAAAGTGGACGAATAGTACTGAACCTTCGTTTTGAGCCGAATTTTCGTCCCATTTCGTCTCATTGCGCGAAATTTCGCCGACAATAGATGCACCGAAATTTTACCGATATTCCCTCTCGAAATTCGTGAATTTTGACGAATTTCGGAGAAGTTTGATATCATTACTTTCGCATAGTGTTGTAAAACAACCAACTGCCACTATAGTTGACAAAGAATAGGAAATGTTTCCCAGGTGGTGTGGTCTACCGCCTCTTTTGTTTCACTAATCATACATAGTACGGGGTGGGAGGATAACAGTAAGCTGATGAATAGACCAATAGCAACGGGCAGTGGCGTCCTCGTATGATGCCTTAAGAGTACTTTTTTTTTAAGCGCAGTTGTGTGAAGAACTTCATCGATATTTCACGTGTGAAGACCGAACTGTTAAAGAGGTCCTTTTATCCATGACATTTACATTATAGTTCTGGGCCCGGTTGATTAAATGTTCTATAGAACAATCCACTGGATAAATCACTATCCAGTGTGAATACGTATTATGGATGCCAACTGCGTTATCTGCTGAATGGTGACTTATACAGTGGATAGCGTTATCTACCTTTTGAATAACTAGGGCCTGCCAATTACTCACTGTATCCAGACAGGTTAAAACCTGGGAGCTCTTTTGTTGGGGATCTCACCTGAGAACATTAGGAACCAATCCTTTATAAAATCCACTCACTCCTTCGTATCTAGAAAGTCGACAAAAAAGCTAATGTCAGAAGGCGACTGTTTAAGGTATAAATCTTGGAGCGCTGGAAAATTTCACTTTCAAAAACTGCTTTCAACAAAAAAGAAAATCGACGAAGCGAGTCCCTCATCTCACCTAAAAGTTTTACGTATAACGTCCACTGCTCCATTGTATTCGGCCATCGTGTATTGATTCTACAAAACACAACAAAACAAACCAATTAAAAAGCCAAAGGAGTAAAAAACTTTAAATTCTGTATACAATATCAACATTTAAAGTGCTGGGTAGTAACCTCTAGGGAGTTGGCTGCTTGGAACTCGGAGGCGCACAGAGCTTTCTTTTGTTTTGGGAAGAGTAGGATACAAAGGGTTGCTGGGCATGCTGCTATCATAGTGGGTAGAGTCGGAACAAAAAGGTAACGTCCTGATTACAACTCCCTCGCTCTTTTGACGCTGCTTATGACTCCGAGTTTTGATGGGTTGTAGGCGTTTTAACGACTGCTCTTACGACTTTAACCCAGACTCTGTCGCTATAGAAAAAGAGCTGTAAGTTTGAATGCGTTCATAATTATAACTTAATAGGCCCTTTGCAGCTAGCCATTCACGTGGTACAAAAAAAGGTAATGCTGGAGAGCATTACGAATCGCACCGGGAGAAGACAAACAAAGGGAAATGATGTGAACATTTAGACTTGCCACAAGTCCACTGTGCGAAGCGAGCGAAAGAGAAATCGCAAGACGAGCGCCAACTGACCACCGAACAAGCAGATACCGGAAACGGAATTCAGAAAGTCTAGTGAGCCTCTTGTTTGTCTTGTCTCAGTGTGTCCCTTACTCTCCAGCATGGTGGTTTTGTACCACGTGAATCACTAGCTGAAAAGTGCCTGTTGGAATTAATCTTGTGGACATAACCTTACACTAAGAGATAAAAAGTAGGAGGTCTGTTTACCTGAAGTCTTGATCTGACTACTTGATACGGATACGTAGCAGTGGCAGCGAAGATCTTTGATAATGATGCCATTATCAAGTACTCTGTTGAACTCTAAAAGGAGGAAGAAACAATGCATACTAAGGGTCTGTTTTAGCGTAGTCTTGATATAAAAACAACTCTCTACTTGCTAATCCGTAGACGGTCCAGTCCTTAACCGTCAATCCCAGGAATATCGATGCGGAGAATGACGATAAAACTTTGAACATTGATAATCATGACATCAGGAAAACAGAGCAAATGAAACTACTAGGAGTCTAAATTGACGAGAATCTTAACTTTTCGGGTCATATTAGCGAGTTATGTACGAGAACTAGTCAAAAAGTAGGAAAGCTTGTACGTCTGCGAAACCTTATACCTTGTAACGCGCGCGAAATTAATGTCATACAAGACGTCCATCTTGCCATAATTAACTTACTGTCATTCAGTATGGAAAATCTGCAGATCACCCGATAGCAGAAAAATCGGGCAGTATATAAATCTCAAACTGAGGCGTACGAGGGACTCCTCAATCGCGCCAAGCTGCCTACGCCTTATAACAGGCGTTTGCAAGACACTGCAACACTAATGTATAAAATAAAATACAGGGTGGCTCACAGGTGTGTATCTGAGTTATTCACGATCAAAAGTAGACACCAAAGCCTAAGAAACTGTGAACTACCCCGCTTTGATATAGTGGGCTATGGGAGGTATTCCCTACGCTACAGTGTACGAAGGACCTTTCATTTGGTCAAAGGTCAGTAGCGAGCTCAGAAACTTGAGAAGCCTCAAAGCATTCAAGAAACATATACGCGGTGTGAACCTTTCGAGCAATATAGATAATAACAGTAACTGCTGTGACCTGTGTAAATTTTGAGTCGTGGACATTTGCATATAGTTTTAGATTTTAGCTAAGATCATTAATTTAAAAGTCATCCAATATATTAGTGAGCCAGCACGTAGGAAAGTGCCCCCAGTTAGCTAACTGTTCAGCTAAATACATCTGAGAGGACGAGGCCGAGATCCCGGTTGCTCGAGCCGAGATCTCGGCAAGCGGGTCAGCCCACCTTCTCGTAAAAACACAAAATTCACTAACAGGTGTGTCTTAAGCTAAAGATAGGTCGAGATAGAAGGAGAATATCAAAAGGCTGGGCCGATGGTTTTAGTTTGACAGGGCTCAAAAACCACTGACTGTGGTTTGCTCACACCTTGAAGAAGGGCTTTAACAGTTTTCTTATTATTCAATGACCTGTTAGTATAAGTGAACAGCTCCATTAATTCTGGCAGAGAGAGAGACTGCTGGTAGCCTATCCAGACATGCCAGAGTCAATATTTAGGAATCTTTTAAGTTGACTGGTCGGTAAAGAGGGGACCAATGTTTTAAAATTTAGCAGTGCTATTTAAGAAAAATCAATCATGTTCTTGGTGTTCAAAGGTTACATGTATCATATACATCAGCGAGTGAACCGTCACAATTTTTCTCGTGACGATGTGCCCTTTACGGAAAAAAAAGGCACTGTTCCAGCGGGGAAGGGGATACTTTTGAAAATTACAGTGGGAGTGTGCAGCATGCTTCCTGAAAGCCTAACCCTGCCTAAGACCAAAATACGTGATTTGCCCTGCCTTACGTCAACTTTCAAGAGACGAGTGATAGAAAGGAACATAACATATTCAAGAGTCTTGTTTGAGAGAGGAAAAGCTTACTCTGTTTCACTCTAAAAAGGGGTCAACAGCCATACCCTTTACAATCTAAGCCGTACAATTTAACAGTATATAGCTTATACTAGGTCGGTATCACTTTTCCTAGCAAACTGCGAAATCTTCACATTCTTAAAATAAGCAGCAACAAACAGAAAAACCCTCTCAAGCAGAGAATGCAAAAACAGCATGCTAGGTAATTATACAATCACATCCTGTTGTGATAATGAAAATCTATAGTTTCTGTACTGACAAGTGTACATCCTGGCTCGTGAACGAAACGTAAGTTATGATCAATGTGAACAACCACTTGAGACTGACTTGTTAACTTACCAATTTTTTATTGATTGGTGTACCAAAGTAATGACTGTAGCCTTTCTTAAGTTCTTCATAAGCCATGAACTGTAGAGCACCATGTGACACACCAAACAGTCCGGGGACGTAACCCTATTGAACAAAATACTGTGTACATGTAGCTGACATTCATCGCGCTAAAACATTTCAAGTGGACTAATTTTGTAATTTGCACCATTTGCACTGAATCAGGCTCTAGTTGCTCAAAAGGTCGATAACGCTATCCACCAGGCCCCAGTTTCTTTCCTAAGGTTGATAACACTATCCACCGGAAAAATCCTTACCCACTGGATGGCGGAATTAGTTTTCCTCACACTCATTTACTGGATAATGATTAGACTGTTCACAGTCCTCTATTTTTCCGTAAGATCATCGAGATCAAGCGCTTTGCGTTACGGGCTGCCATCTTGCATGAGTGTCAAAAACTACTTAACACCGGACGCCCGCCCCCTCGGTACATTTGAAAAACAAGATAGCTGTGACGGTAAGACGCGGTATATCTAAACGATCTCACAAAAAAATAGGGGACTGTGAACAGTCTAGATAATGATTTATCTGGTGGATAGCGCTATCCGACGCTTGGAAAACTAGAACCAAACATCAGAAGCTTTAGCAACGACGACCGCGTGAATTTAAGATAAAACAACAGAAAAAATAAAATCGTCATCACTCGTTTACGGCCCTCACAAAACGTGAAATTAGGCACTTTTCATGTCATAGTCGTGCGGTAGCGGCAAAGAAATGTTCAAGAAACTGTGCAGAGTTGTTGCTTTTTCCACCGTAAAACCTGTAATTGTTTCTAAACGTTCTTGTTGCCCTATTCACCGTGATTGCGTAAATGTCGTCATACTGAGGACGCCGTTTACGTCAAGCAACATTACATAGCATGGCAACTGACTTACTTTGTATAATCCTCGGAGTCCCTCGTGTCTCCAAAGTTTAAAAAGGGCATCTAAAAAGTAAGAATTACGAAATGATTTTATAATAAACACAAATACATGTATGATCTATGGCTCTCTAAATCAAGGTCACACAGACATTGTGTCAGACAAATAACTGTAATAGGAGGAACTCGTTCTTTTACCACTACAACAAGTAAATGGAAAACGGCTTTCCGTGTCCCTTTATTGGAAAATTTCCGAGAGTAACGGAACATCTGAAAAGGTGGCCCTGTTTTTCCGGACGAAATAAATTATTCCAAACAGTAGACTGCTTGCAGGCCGCCTTTTCTCCTAAAATCCGTCTAGTTCTTATCTCATCCAGCGCGATTGCAAACCACGACGTTATTATTACAATAAACTTTGCAACGAAAAATAAGAGACTGCTCGCAATCTACCCAAACGGAGATTCGTGCTCCATTTGTTAAAACTTATCTTTGATACCAGTTTCAGGCCTTCGCGGTTGTTTTTCGGTAAGTGGAACTGATTTGTAAAACAAATAGTAAACCGTATTCCGGAATGAAATTTACTACGCCTGAATTTTTCAAACCATTCACCCAACACGTGAACCGACCGGTTTGCCCATTCACCACTTTAGAAACGACTAGAGAACTGGAACCGAAATTGCGTCCCGCAATTGTTTCTGGGATTGTTACTGGGGAAGCGCCAGTCAGCTATTGGCCAATTTTTTCCCTGTCCCTAGTAACCGTCCCAAAAGTCTTTGCGAAAGTTCAGTTGGCCAAGTTTTCTTACCAATCATCCCTTTGTATTGCGGTGCTTGAGTAACGGCAGCTGGTGAACCAGTGTACTGAAGACAGAGGTGCGTCCTTATAACACATATTGGATTTGTCACTGTTAGTGTTCCAGTTCCTGAAAGGGAGGAAAATACATCAACTTAACTTATTAGATGGATACCCAATCCTCTCAGCCCTGTGTATAAATCATCACAGACAGACAATTAGGGATGACACTGTGTAAGGGGGCAGAGGAGTTTGGTTTGAACTTGATTCCTGTTTTATAATACAATGCAATACAAAAAATTTTATTAACTCTCCCAAAGGGCTATTCTGAAGTGAATTTACAAATGCTAAAAAAGAAGGGGATAAGAAGAAAAAGCGTAAATTGATTACAATCTTGGTACAAAACTAAAAGCCTAAACTATGCGCATACAATTACGTCATCTCTTTGGAGATCTAAACTAAATCAAATATTAACTATTTAACGTATGGGGTCTGCTCCCGCAATTCGCGTTTGACGCTCCTCTTAAAGGTACATAGTGAATGGGCTGTTTCTAGTGTCTGCAGTCAGAGAGTTCGAGGCACTTAGAGCGCGATAGTAAAATGACCGTTGTGCAGTAACTGCTTTGCACAGAGGGAGATTTACATTGTCTCTTTTTCCTCGTGTTGTAGTTGTGTGCGTCTAATCGCTTACTGAGTTAACTACGCAAGTACAACGGAGCGAGGCTATTAACAATTTTGTTTAATTTTGTTTTGTATTTGTTGCGTAGTATCACGGACTAATAGCTGATCTTTGATGGAGGGCCATCCTAATTCCCGAAGAACAGGCGAGATGTGATCAAACTTTTTAGTATCTGTTAATACGCGGGCGGGGAAGTTTTGCACTGATAATATTGTAACTTCTGTAGATTTTGCTTAGAGGTGCCTGCCCAGACAGTGGAACAGTAAAAAGGTTTACTAAAAATAAGAGAATTCAAAACAGTTGACAAGACAGGTTTAGTAAAAAGGTGCCTCACCCTACTAATCTGATATAACGGCGACAGGAGAGACGATGTTAACGTGTATACATGATCATTAAAATTGAGGTATTGAGTCCAGTGTAATGCCTAAGTCTTTAACTGAGGATACCGGACCCGATGTTTAGCCTGATCGACCTCGCTCTTATTACGTGTCCAAAATACTGGCATTTTCTTTTCTTTATTATTGGTAATGATGACCTTGTTGTATTTGCCATCTTTAAAACTTCTTCATTGGTTTTATGTTCCGTCCATGATACTCTTAACATACTTCTATATTTTAGCGACTGATGAAAAAGTCAAGAATGGTCATAAAAGTTGATCCATACGGCACTTTGATGATAAATCGCGGCAATCATATTTTGATTGTGTTTCATTTACACGGGCGTGTTTAAAAAACGAAATGACGAAATAGCGAAATGGCGAAATGACTTTCCTAAAGAGTAAAAACAAATGACTTCCTCTATTTTGTCGTGTCCAGTTGTTATGTCTTTGCCTTCCATGAACCGGCAAAACCTGCTCAGCATGCTGATGCAAGACCTCACAAATCTTGTTGTGCCATCGCCGTTATCGCAGTCACTTGTTCTTTCTCGTACTAAGGATCTCTCCTCTCCCCAGGGACATCTCGGTTTTGTCAGTTTCTACACGCCGTCTTGTTTTAAAGCCATTTATTGGCAATTGCAATAGAGCAAATTTCACGTTACAGTTATTGCTTTTGTTTGCAAATAAATTTCATTAAGCAAATCAGATCAGGCAATACCCTGTTTATATTCAGGATAGACTCACACGAAATTATATACCCTGTTTATTTGTAGAACTATTAGCAATTTTTGACTTTGGACTTATACTTCTTCATCCTCACGTGCGTTAAAGTTGACGGTAGCTTTTCTTTGTAATACGCTCCGCCACATCTACGTCTCTGATGACACTGCAGTTAATTTCCCCACAGAAGAGCTATTTTCGGCGCGTATGATGAGCTTGCGTGCGCACACGGCGCGTGATAACAAGCCTTCAAATCTTATGGCTGCGCAATGGTGTAGAACTCGGGTCAACAAAACGCGTGGTAACTCCACCGACCGAATAGTAGGGAGGAAAACCGACCAAAGAAAAATATGTATTATTTGTAAATACTTTTAGTCATTTTGCCATTTCGAGTTTTAAACATGCCCCATTTATACTGCTGCCGTAAGCATGTTAATAGCTACGATACAAACGTACTTAAGCAAATGTTGTGAACCTTGCAGTTTTGTCTCGTTAACATTTTCATTCACAAATTTTTTCAATTTTTTGGTGTATATTTCTATCGCTATATGTTATATATGACTGGATTATCATTATGGGACAGTGAGCACGAACATAACACTGTAAACATGTTGTGCTCCCTCAAAAAAAAAAATTGTCATATTGCAATTCCCACAGGCCTCCCCATAACGGCCACCTCTCAACAAGGGCCACTTTCTTCTGTCCCCAAGGTGGCCATTGTGGAGAGGTTTGACTGTACACAAAATGTACAAAATATTAATGTACAAATTTCCTAGGAGAGAAGAAAATAGCACCAGTAGGAACTCAAACAGATAGGAGAGAAGAAAATAGAAAGAAAAGAACCTTCATAGCTGTTCTACAGCTACTCCCAGCAATGTGTATTTAAATACATGAATTCCAATGAAGGTTTAAAATATGAATTGTATACAAAATATTGTTTTGTTCACTGTTGTAATCACTTACCTGAAAAAGTAGAGTCCCCTTGCAGACTTATAACCCCATACTTTCGGTGTCACACCCTGAAGTAAAAAAAAAAAGGAACTTGTACTCATTCCTTTAATTTTTTTGTCCTTTTTTTTATTTCTTGCTATTTTTTTATTTATTTTTTTTTCACTGAGCCAGGCTTTAAGCTACTAGGAGAAAAAAAAAGAGAAAACGCCGTAACAATAAGTATAAATATTAGCTGGCTTACTTTCCGGGAACAGGAGAAATCTTATCAGGAAAAAGTAGTAGTGAATGGTGTAATAAGAGGTGGATTTCTAGTACCCAAAGCATGTGAAGTTTTGTGCGTAAAGTTCTATGGAAGGATTGTTCCCAAAATGACGTAGATCTGTCCTCCCTGAACACACTGCTAAGCTTACTAACTCAGTCCTTTAAACTGAAAGATAAATAAATAATCTGCATTGCTCCATGAGGCACAAAAACGACCAAACAAATCACTTAACTAAGGGTTAAGTATGTTGTGAATGTACTAACCTGGTACAACCCCTTTAAACCCCCTGTTCCGACAATGGACTGCACTGCATCAACTAGACCTCTGTACACTGGCAACTTGCCACTGCCATCATTACACTGTAACTCATAACAAAAACATTCATATAATAAATAAAGCTATTGTGTGAAACTAGATGCATTAACAAAATTATGTAAGGCATGCTTTTATAAGGTCTTTTTCTTAAATGCAAATAACAATTGCTAATTAAGCCTAAAAATTTCAAGGCTTCAATGGAATTCGAACCCATGACCACTCTATTTACATGTATAGTGCTGCAATGCTTTACCATATGAGCAACATGTAAAAAAACCCGTACATTGGGACCAGTTCTTAACTCTTGAAGGAAATATTAAACATAGTTCTAATAAAGATGATCTGCAGAAATACAAGGCCTGTTTTCCTCTTCTCTTTTCTACAGTAGCCTATCAATTTTCTATTTTCTAACTCATCATTATACAGAGTCATGTCATCAGCTTGCAAGTAGGATAGGACGCACCCCGTGTCAATGAGGCGGATTGAAAAATGGGTGGAACAAATTTAAGAATAAAATTGCCTCCAAGGCTCAAGTGCTCCTCAATGAAAAACCCCATAATAACCACCTCATAAATGGGTTTCTTTTAATTGAGAGAGAACATTATTATGCCTGTGTAGCTGGTGGGATTTAGTACTCATGACAGTTATAAAAGAACCTGTGGTTATTAGCCTATAAAACTATAAGAAGAATGGGGATTGGGAAAAGCCACATGCAGGGACATCAAGGAGCACTTTTAAACTTTGGTCCCTCCAGTTACGCAAGCTATAACAGTTGGCGATCAAATTTGACTCATTTATTTTATGCTCGGGGAAGCAAGGTAATATTTTTCATTTAAAAAATCATAAAAGAAAACCTTCAGACAGATTCACCCAGGCCGGGGTCTACTTATATGACCTGTATTATCACTAATTGCCAAATTATGGGTTGGGGAAGGTGTTAAATTCTCATGATGTTCACCTGGTTGCCTTTCAAAATTTTACAAAATGTCAATTTCCACCACCACTTCATTCAAACCTAAAAATAACGTCTTGAATTTTCCCCTCACTTAGGGCAAACAATCCAACCCATCCTCTACTAAACCCACCATTTCTCCCCTGGTTTGCCCAGGGTCCTACCCCTGGCGCAAGCTTATGACATGTACATCATGCTCATCATTAACCACATTTTTCTTGACCCTATCGCACACCTATTTTGATCATGCAGTCTACCACCCTTTTATCCCACTACATTTACATGTATGATTGACTGATTCTTCTAAGATGAGGAAGTCTGGAACTCCTATAAGGCACGTTTTTGTACGTAATTTCAGGACGGGGATTAGTCAATAACAATTGTCAGGAAAATGGGATTAATGAAGATAATTACTGCAATGGCAGGATTAGGAATGTTAATGAGGAACCTCTAAAAATGGCCATTGTTAGGACTTGATTTTTCGTCTGAAAGAAGAGTCCAGCATATCTTTTTAATCATGAGGAAAGGCAAAATCCAACTGAAGTTGACCTTTTTGGACAAATAAGTACGTGTACGTCTTAAATATACATGAAGAAGTGTCCGAACCTTATTAGCCTTTTTCGCTTTCTGATTTATTTCATGCCATAGTTTTGACATTCACGCCACATGGCTAGTTGCATATAGCATTACATTTAACATTGCAATTTATAAAATAACTAAGATAGTACGCGCTCTCTGATTGGCCAAGAGGAGTGTTTGCATGAGAGTATGTAAACATGGTTGTGGCATCAAAATGTTTTGCTTTTCGTGCACTAATCACGTAAGCACAAATTAATTTGAAAAAGTTTTCAAGTTCAAAACTCGACAAGTTTACTTTATTTACCCGTTCCTTCGTCGGCTAAAACTTGGAAAATCATTACAAAGAAGGTGTGTCAATTTCTTTTTTGCTTAAGCTGACATTTTAAGCGAGAAAAATCCGTATATTGGAAAGCATCT